CAAACCTCAACAAATACAAAAAGATTGAAATAATTCCATGCATTCCATCAGACCACAATGCAATAAAGCTTACAATCAACACCAGAAGAAGTCCTAATCACAACATGAATACATGGAGATTAAACAACACACTCCTGAATGATGAATGGGTCAAAATTAAGAAAGAAGTAAAAGAATTCCTGTAATTCAATGAAAATGATAATACAACACAACAAAACCTCTGTGACACTTTAAAAGCAGTCCTAAGAGGGAAGTTTATAGCTCTAAGTGCCTCTAAGAGCCTACATCAAGAAATCAGAAAGAACACAAATAAATGACTTATCATTGCAACTCAAGACACTTAAAAATCAACAGGGGAAAGGGGAACACTCATCCACTGCTGGTGCGGCTGCAAACTTGTTCAAGCCCTATGGAGAGCAGTGTGGAGAACTCTTAAAAAACTACAAATGAACCTACCATTTGACCCAGTTATACCACTCCTTGGCATATACCCAAAGAACTCATCCTACTGCAGAGACACTTGTACATCCATGTTTGTTGCTGCTGTTTTCACAATAGGTAAGAGATGGAAGCAACCTATGTGTCCCTCAACTGATGAGTGGTTAACAAAAATGTGGTATATTTACACAATGGAGTTCTATTCAGCAGCACAGGAATACAAGAAAAATGAAATCATGGAATTTGGAGGCAAATGGAATTAATTAGAAAATGTTATACTAAGTGAAGTAACACAGACTCAGAAAAAAAATCAACATATGTTCTCCCTCATATGTGGATCCTAGAACCAAACCCTGGTAAGTGAGTATGTATCCAGACATAACTACAGGAACAAGGATAATGGAAAGGAACCAGGGAGGTAAAGGTAAAGAAAGAACCTGAAAGGGAAGATCAGTAGGAAACAGGCCTTAATAAGGGAGATAGAGACAGAAATTTGGTTAGTTTAAGGGAGGGGGGAGGGAAGGATATACAAGGAACCTAGGGGATAAAGGGAAAGAAGGAGCTCAAGAGAGGTAGGAAAAGGGTATTATTAAGGGAGAAATGGGGGAACCATAATGGAGGGGTGAGACAATGTGAGAGATAAATAATGCCTAGTTTTGAAAACTGGAGGGAACCATATTACTCCTACAACCTACTAACAAATTATATATAGCAGATCAAGAAATCTATGTCTAGGTAAGGTTTACCTGAGAACAACTGATCTTTGCCCAAGGTTTATCTACATGACACACAGTAATTAAAAGTACCAGACTGGTGGAACTAACCTTCTTGGGTGTTTAAC